AATGGATTTGGGGCTTGGTCAGCAGGGGAGACCTTCAGGTGGCAGGTGATGTAGATCTGAAAGGGACATTAAACCAACATCCAAGGTTAAATTTGTTCATGAAGAACACCACAGCTTCTGAACACGCTGGGGGAAGAGGGGTAGGCACCACATCTCACCATGTTTCTGTCATCTCCTGCAAACTTGAATGCATCAACCATGAACTGCAGCGTTTCCTGCCTCGGCCTCGGAGAGATGAAGGCTGAAGTGGTGTCATCTGACCTCCCATCCACCAAGCACCTGGACAAGGGCCAGAAGTCAGGGACATCCCAGCCAGCTACAGCAGTACCACCAAGACAGCACCACACCCCTTACCCGCTGAGGTCAATCAAGGCATATCGGGGAGAGGAGTTCCTGTCTGGACTCAGGGTAGCAACACAGTCATCCACAAAAAGCCTTAGCGGTACATGGTCTCCCGAAGCAACGTCAGCCTGGAGGTGCAGGCTTTCCCCCAGCTGGAAGCCATTGGAGAGTCTCTCGGCGCTCCAGTCATCTGGAAGGTAGATCCAAGGCCACAGGTCACTTTGGAGACAAGCACATTGCGCTTCCTTGCGCATGGGACCTCTTAACTGGGCAGCAACCCCATGTGACACTTCTGCAAGGTTTGATTTTAGCCCAAATTACAGCTCTGTTTGGGCTCTCAGCGTGCGGCCAAGAGCTGGCAGGAGCAGGGACCCAATGGAAATGGAGCTGCCAGGTCTGCACCCACCATTCATGAGGCGCAGGGAGAACATCAGCTTCTCCTCCGCCGACAGGGTGGAGTGGAAGGGAGCCCACGTGGGCCGGACAGCATTGCCGCTCACGTTGCTCTTCCTAAATGGAAGAGATGTGCGTTAACAAAGATGCCACCATCATCTCAGGTCCACGGGAGCAGAGACACAGCTCCCATTTGCTCACCTGGGATAGTGACACTCAATAGGAACCACCGCCGGGTTGGTCCTTACGATGACCATGTTACCAGAAGGAGCAGGTTTGTAGAACAAACTTGTTTTGTAGACGAAAGAGTCTGGGGTCATCTGGAAGGAAGATTTAGGAGAGCTGATAAATCAGTAAAACACGCTAGTCAACCAGGAACTCAACACCTTCAGCTACCCAGCACTGACACACAGGTCCATCAGGCTGTCCCCCACATTCCCGATCCAGTGCCTACAGGATGCCGTGAAGCTTGGTGTTGGCATCCCAACAAGGTGCCAGCCCCGTAGGAGGTCGGTCTCAAGGACTTCAGCATCCCAGCAAGGACCCACATCAGGTGGGCCGGGGCTGTAGGACAGCAGGTCTGCAAACCTCCTCCCCCAGGTGAAGTGGGGCACACCAGCTCCAGGCTGCCCTCCTCCTCTCCTGCCGAGGAGGTCAGCACCTTCCCAGCAAGCCCCTTTCCCCCTTCCCCAGCCACCGCCGTTTCACGCTACGCCCACTTCTCCCATATACTCCTGCATCCAGTCGCATCTCTCCGAGTCACAAAGCCACCCCAAGCCTCGCGTGCTGCTGCGCGTGCTCCTCACCCGGGGCTGCAGGACGGTACCCGTGCTCCGAAACCTAGCTCCGCGCTGGCCACACCACCCCTCACTGGTGAGCTGCTGCAACCAGATGAGCCCCTCCTCACCCCGAACCATCACCTCTACCAGGTCATTTCGGAGACAGAGACCTTTGCCAGGATGAGTTGGGCAGCATGGCAGCACATTCCTCCCCCGCAGTTAAGCTGTCCACAGTAGTTCCCATTTACCCACCCAGTGCTGGTCAAAGCCCAGCGAAGGTCCATTCCCCACGCAGCACTACCAAGGATGGAGCAGCCCCTCACCCCAGCAGCCCACCTCACCT